TAAGTTTTGTTGAGAAATCCCTATTTCAGGGCTTCTTGCCCTTTTATCTCACTGCTTTGACTGTTGTGACAGAACCTGCCCCATGCCTGCCATGTGATTCCTGTTTCCCTCGTCAGAACTCACCTCCAAGCTGCCCTTGCCCTGTGAGACGAGTCTTCCAGCCCAAAATCAGATTTTGGGGCTGCTTTCATTGCATCTGGGTAAAGCTCTGCAGCCTAAAGCCAGCTACTCGCTTGTGTTTAATTACTCAAACAGAAATACTGCTTGGAAATTTTGAGGAACTGTTGCAGATGCTCCATGGATTCTTATTCTCTGGCCTTGCAATATTATTGCTATTTTATATTACTACTATTACCATTATTGCACTGGCTTCACAACTGCAGTTCAGTCCCTGCAGTTCCCCAGGGCTGTTGTGACTGGAGTCGTGTGACTCCAGCAGCTCCAGGCTGGGAAAAGCCAAGGTCCAGGAACAGAGAACTCCATGAGCTGAAGGTTTTCATGCAACACCTACACTTTTATGGAAAAACAGCTAGGGAGACTCATTCAGTGATGGTCAGACAGCCCTGAGGCAGAAACAAACATGAAATTACACGGCAGAGCGTGACCCTCACCACTGCAGGGACCCGCTGCCATTGCTGCCCGGCCATGGGAGACACTTAGGATGTTGCAGCCTAATTATGGCAAATCAGATGCCCTAGAATGTCCTTATCCTGGACATCCTGCTTCAACTGCCCAGGTCGTGCATCTGGGGCAAAAAGGTACCTGGGCTGAAAATTGTACCCACCAGAGAGGATGAGCCTGCTCATGGGGTGGTCGCCCTTCATAGAATCACTCAGGTTGGAAGGGAACTTTCCATCATCGAGTCCAACCATCCCCCAGCTCTGCCAGGTCCCCACTGCCCCGTGTCCCTCACCCCACATCTCCACAGCTTGGAAACCCCTCCAGGGGTGGGGACTCCACCACTGCCCTGGGCAGCCTGGCACAGCCCTGGGCAACCCTCCAGGGCAAGAAATTGTTCCTCAGGGACAACCTCAACCTCCCCTGGGGCAACTTGATGCCATTTCCTCTTGTCCTGTCCCTTGTTCCTTGGGAGCAGAGCCCGACCCCCCCCGGGCTCCAGGCTCCTGTCAGGAGCTGTGCAGAGCCAGAAGGTCTCCCCTGAGCCTCCTTTGCTCCAGGCTCAGCACCCCCAGCTCCCTCAGCTGCTCCTCACCAGATCTGGGCTCCTGGCTTTGTTTGTAACTTCATGTGAGCAGCCAGAGACATGACAACCTCAAGCCATCCAAAACAAAAGGCTCAGCAGGCTGAGAAATCAGCTCGCCCTGGGGATGGGGGTAGTGCTGCTGCTGGGGTCCCTCCATCACTGCAGCCCCCACTTAGATCTGGGCGCATTTAGGGGTAAACCAAAGCACAGGATGGCACAGAATGAAGAGCAGCAAGTGCTTAAGCACAGGCTTCATGAGGAGTCCTGGGTGTTCCCTTGGGTTACTCATGTTCAGGACAGATCCCACTGGATCGCCTTGGAGCAAGGTTTGCTGAGGTAGCAGGAGCCTGGAGTGCAGTGCAGCAGCCCCAGGCTTTGCAGAAGCCCCTGTCTGTGGTAGGTGACCAAGTTCATACTGAAATGAAGAACACTGCTTCCAAATAGGTGCTCTAGGTGCATCTCCAAATATTTCAGTGACTCTGTGAAGAGCTGCCCCTGTAGGGCTAAAGCCAGAGGCAGGAGATAGCAAAGCAGGGACTTGAGCATACAGGCATGGACCTTTTTAATCAAAAAGTCCTTTTTCTACCCCGTGAAAATTTGCTTGCAACAACCAATCACCTGCTTTGGAAACAGCAGGCAGAAGAGCTGAGAGCTCACAGTTCTATAAAAACCACTGCACACTTGGGAACCTCCCTGTGGGGCAGGTGCCAGCCCCGAACCCTCAGCATCACCCGAGGTGCTCACACAGAACCTGGCAGGGTTTTTGTCTTTGCCATTGCAGGGAACATTTCTTATTGCACACAAAGAAAATTGACACCTTAGCCAAGAGTCTTCCATGTACCTCCATGTCCAAAGGCCTGTCTGCAGGTATTTAGGGAAGAAATGTTTCTCCCAGAGGGCTCAGGAGAACCACGCTCGCTTCATTAGGAGCAGCCTTGGCAGCCAGACAGCAAAAGCCAGAATCACTTTTGAAAGTCTTAGCCTAGACTTTATCATTTGCAGATTTTCTTGAAGGTATTTTTAAGCTAATCATCCCCTATTAGGAAATGTCTTGCCTAGCCTGGTTTGTTTCTGTATTAAGATTAAGCAGCAAAAGGGATTAGAAATGTTATTACGGGAGCCTAAGATGTTAAAGCACTAAATATATATAACTGAAAAAGCCTTTTCCTTCTAAAGAAATAAAATATCACTCTGCAGAGCTTTCTCACACTGCTCTAGTAATGTGACATTTGATAAAGTCTGAGCCCCTCACTAAGCCCTGACCCCTCTTAAACTCTACAGAAATATTTTGTGTTGAAAGGAGCTGTTAAGATCTATCACCCTTTCATCTTTATAATGTGGCAGCACGAGTTTCAAATGATCAAATTATACAGAATTACTCACACCTATGAACACCTAGCTGTGAGAACTGCTGTCGTACATACTGCCAGCAGTTTGAAATTTGCTAAAGCAAAGGTTTTGATAAAGCTGTATCTAATCTTTTCTTTTTTTTCCCCTTCCCAGACCAAGTAAGAACTTGCAAAAGACGTTTTGCCTTTTGTTTTTCAGAACGTTGCTGGCAGGCAGAGCAGGGTGCTGGGGTCATCAGTTCTTCATTCAAAGCCACCCGTGCAGCAGAAAGATTGTGGAAAGTTCAGTTTGAGTAATTTTCTAATGGCCCAAGTCCAAAATGAGGATATCATTCAGGAACATCTACGAAACTCCTGCTGGAAGCTGCCTGCCTGCTTTCCTCCCCCCATCCCCAGGGATGTTTGGGACACGCCAGCAGAGCAGCCCCCACCACTCTCAGTATTCCAAGCCCAGAGCTCCTCAGAACATCCTAGACTTTTTTTTCTTTCTTTTATAAAGGTTCCCCTCTAAGCACAAGCATTTTATTAGGAAGAAAACTTCCTGGGAAATATGTTAAGAAGACACAAGTGGAGTCTCCAGCCCCAAGCCCAAATTGCTTCAAGTGTAACTAGAGAAACCAGATTGGCAAAGAGGGTGTCAGGGGATTGCAGTGAAGGCAGAGCCCATCTGGACACTGAATTCACTCCTGTACAGCAGCCCCCAGCCAGGAAAGGGCCACACACGACCTGAACCTTCACTCTGTGACTGGAAATCCCAGAGCTACAATCCCCCTGGGGTTTGGGGGGACACTAACACCAACACTGGCTGCTGCACAGCACCCAGAGCAAAGGCTGGCTTCATCCCACCTGGGTCAGACTAACACCTTATTCAGAAAGTGTTGTCCTGTGGCTGAAATCCCAAACTCACAATCGAAGAAGCAGCAGAAGGGAACAGCTGGGACAGCTTCAGGTCCTGCTGCTGGGTGTGCCAGACTGGAAAAACACCTGCAGAAGCATCGTGCTCCTTTCCCATGTCTCCCAAAGGGATAGTGGGAAGACCAACAGTGTGAATGAGGACACAACTGAACCAGTGATCTACAGAGAAGAGAGAGGAGAGACAACAGTGTGAATGAGGACACAACTGAACCAGTGATCTACAGAGAAGAGAGAGAGAGGAGAGAGAGAGAGAAGAGAGAGAGAGAAGAGAGAGAGAGAAGAGAGAGAGAAAGAGAGAGAGGAGAGAGAAAAGAGAGAGAGGAGAGAGAAAAGAGAGAGAGGAGAGAGAGAGGAGAGAGAGAGGAGAGAGAGAGGAGAGAGAGAGGAGAGAGAGAGGAGAGAGAGAGAAGAGAGAGAGAGAGAGAAGAGAGAGAAGAGAGAGAAAGAGAGATCACCCTTCCCGTGCCAACCACACTCACCTCCAGCAGCAGCCTCGCAACGCGTGGAACAGTGTGGGACAAACAATGATTTCATTTGACTTGAGGCAAGTGAGTAAAGTGGGTGAAAAATGGTCTTCCCTGTCCTGTGGAAGCTGAAGCTCACTACGTGTCATTTATAGAGGCACTGGAAAATAAGCTTGTCACCTTCATTACTGCTTCTGCTGCATTCTCCTGTGTTCTTCACCTTATTGCAGTGTTAGAGCTCTAAACAATGCACTAAGTGTTTCTGGAGAAACATATTATTTTAACTGGATGGTATGTGAGTGTTTTGACTACGTTTCATATTAATTTAATAAAAATATTACCTCTGTGAGTAGCTCTTCTGCAAATGTAAGTTTATACCAATTGATACAAACGACTTCACAACTTCATGTAACCACCACCAAATGTCATCAAGCAAAAATAGTCTTTATTCAAATCTCATGGAAACAGGAATCACTGTACTTTGCAAGACAGGGAAAAATAAAATAAAAAAATTTAATATAAAACAAGGATATTGTCACAATACCAGAATATGGGACTATACTTCTTTTCCCTATGGATTACTGCAAATATCTATATTTTTTTTTCCTTTTGACTGTGCTATTCACAACTTTGTAAGTAAAAAAAAAAAAATATGAAACAAAAGTAGTATGAGACTGAAAACTTAGCACTTCCACTAAATGGTCTACATCAAAGGGCATCAAATCAAGGGCAAAGACTGCTGAAGCCATCAGAGCTACCTACCAGCCCTCACTGCAATCTCCTGAGCCCCCCTCGGCGCAGCGCTCCTTCCCCACAAGGCTCCTCCTGGGGAATGGGGAGGATTTGGGTGCTCTGGAAGAGTTAGAACCTTCCTAGGGGACAGAAAACAAGCTGGAGGGCCCGGCACTGGAGGGCATTGCAGGGAGGGAGCGCCGAGGTGAACGACAGACATCCCCTCAGGTTGGTAAAAATGTACAGCATCGACGGGATTTCTACGTAACCACTTGAGCTACAGCTACAGAACATGTACAAAAGACTCCTCCAGCCCCCGAGGGGGTGTGCAGGGGGTCAGGACCTGGAGCGAGACCTTGACCGCGTCCTGGAGCGTGACCTAGAGGCAGATCTAGACCTAGACTTGGACCGGGACCTAGGCTTTGAGACAGACTTAGACCTGGAACGAGACTCGGATTTGACATTTGGTTTTGACTTGGAAATCGACCTAGACCGGGAGCGAGACGCCTGATGTGGGGCCGTGTCCTCACCCTCAGCTCTCGCCTCCTTTTTGTCAGAATCTGCTCTCTGATGCTCCTTGTCTTTGGAGGCTGACCTGGACCGCTCGTGGCTTTCCTTCCTTCTCTTCTTGCTACTCGGTTTGCTCTCTCGCTTGCTGCGCCTCCGGCTTTTCTCGCTCTTGCTGCGGCTCCTGCTCCTACTTCTGCTCTCATCCCTGCTTCTCTTCCTGCTTTTCCTTTTATCCTTACTGCGGCTCCTGCTCCTACTCTCATCCCTGCTCTTGCTCCTGCTTTTAGCCTTGCTAATGCTCTTCTCCCTGTCTTTGCTTCTACTCTTCTCCTTGCTCCTGCTCCTCATGCTCTCCCTCGTCTCTCCCCTGTCCTTACTCCCACTCCTGCTCCTACTCTTTTCCTTGCTGTGGCTCCTGCTCTTTGCCTTCTCATCACTGTTATGGAGAGCGCCCTCAGATTTATCTTTACTTTTGTGTCGGGATTTCTCTGCGCTCCTGCTGCGGCTCCTACTTTTATCCTCTTTACTTGGAGTCCTGCTTTTCTCTTTTTGGCCTCTGCTACGGCTCTTGCTTCGACTACGGCTCTTGCTTCTGGAACGGGACACAGACCTGCAAGTGACAACAGACAGCTCCACCTCAGTGTGGCTTGGATTTGTCTACAGTGCTCAACAGTGTGCACAACAAGGTAGGGAATTAAAAAAAAAAAACACAAAAAATAAAAGGGTTGCTCCTGTAAATTTGGGGTGATGCTTTCTCATTAAAGCGGGTCGCCCCCGTTTCTTCCCACACAAAAACATACCTGGATCTTGATCTGCTCTTGGAGCGACTACTGCTGGCACTGCGGCTCCTGCTCTTATGAGAGTGTCTGCTTCGAGAGCGAGACCTGGAACAGAATCAACCAGCACCACGTTAGCACGTGCCCAGGGAGAGCCCGTGATCCCCTGGTCCCCTGTGGGTACAACCCCATGGCACCAAAGCGCCTTTCAAACAGCTGAGTAGTGAGAGGGTTACTCAGTGGAGTTAAACCTGGAGCACCCTTCTCCTCACTGCTCATCCCCTGCTGCCATGTCTGGAAGTGAGCAGGGCTGCTCATCTGGAAGAAAATATCCAACCTTAGGAATAAGGAACCTTAGGATAAGGAAGCAGGAATCACTTCCCCAATCATGTATGGACACAGTGAGACACTAGGATAAAGCTTTGACTTTGGGCTTTGACTTCATGAACAAGCTGGTCTATGAAGAGTAGAAGTTTGTCTGAGTTTTCTTGCAACGACAAGTTTTACCCCAGAACAGAAAGGGGAAATACTCAGTGTCAGGAGATGCAGGTCTCTCCATCAGGCAACGAAAGCAGCAGATCTCACAGGGAACAGGTTGGGGTTTCCAAGCTGAGAAAGAACTGTTAGTCCTGGTGCTTGCAGCAGAACACAGTGTTCAGAGCCAACGTGTTAAAAGCACCTTCTGTTTCATTGTGTGCACAGCTCCACCCGCCACCTCCTGGGAGACAGAGAGGACTCAGGACCTGCTGGGGCTGGGGAGGAACAGGAGCACACTGGAGGGTGTTCACCCAGCACAGACCTTCCCCAGGGAAGACACCGCTGAGCAGAGGCCTCGTTTCCCTTGGGTACTTAGAGGTAACTAATGCATTCTCAAAAACTATATTTATAGTTAACTCTGAACACTTCCAAGGTGTTTTGGGACCTGCTGGACACCCATGTAAGCACAGCTCGATTCGACCTGAGCTGCACTGTGACAACATACCTCGAATGGCTTCGGCTTCTGGAGTAAGAGCGGCGCCGCCTCGATCCAGGTCTGTCTTCCACTAATCTAATCTTCCTGCCATTTACTTCTGTCCCGTCCAGCTTTTCAAGGGCTCTTTTCATGTCAGAATAGGATTTGAACTCAATCACACCTTCATTTTTCCTTCCTTTGTGTGCATCTGCATATGTCACCTCCCCTGCCTGACGCATATAATCCTAGAGGAAGAGGACAGAATAACCATGGCCTCGAGTCCAGAGCCAGGCGTCCAGGCTGACCCCGACCACTTCTGCAAGGATCCTCACTTAGCCTCTTCTACTCACACAGATGTCAGCCAGGGCTTTACCCAAACAGCATCAGCAGTGAGAACCCAAGGGTTCTGAGCAAGCCAAACACACGCTGTGATTTCACAGAGTTTGGGTGATTAGAACCAAGGTGGTGTTGGTAGTTTTGAGTCAAATGATAATTTAAGTTCACAGAGTGATAGAACTGTTCTGGTTTGAAGGGACCTTTAAAATCATGGAGTCCAACTGTCCCCCAGCACTGCCAGGTCCCCACTGCCCCGTGTCCCTCACACCACATCTCCACAGCTTGGAAACCCCTCCAGGGGTGGGGACTCCACCACTGCCCTGGGCAGCCTGAGTTCTCTCATCTCAAGCCTAATATGAAATATGCTCTGGACTATATGTTCCAGATCATAAAAGCATTTAAAGAAATAAAATGCTTGCTCTCTAAATTATATTTTCAAACTCAAGTAGAGTATGAAGAGGCAAGAAGGCTACAGGCAAGCAGAGCTCTCTTCATCCTCCACCTAGGTAACACATCTCATTCTGCTGGAACCCCAGGTAAAAGCTTGATTTACTTTCCCCCTTCATGCTTTGTGGTTCCTCTGTGTCAGCCCCTGAACACCTCGGTTTCTGGAGGGGCTGTTCTGCCCTGCTCTGAGGAAGCCACCAGGCAAGGCTGCCTGCTGGCCACCACAGACTGGGGCTGCAATGGGCACGGGGCACAGAACTCCAGTTTGGTCTGGTGTCAACCCAGCTCCTCCCATCTAACGTCCACTGCCATGAAAGCTCTTCCAAAAAAGCGATGCACCCAGTAGAGGATTAATCATGCCATGCTCTACTTACAATTTTTAATACCAGAAGCAAAGACAAGCTACTGATGGCGTGAAGCATTAACAACAAAAGATGTTTGAGACTCTCAGTACGTACCTGAACCTGTGTTACATATTCAATTACAGACCAGTTTCTACTACGTCAAAGTTTGTTTAGAACAAATTTTACACATCCTTTAAAGAGAACCATAACAGAAAGTGCTCCTGTAAGAACAAGTGGTTTTAACTGTTGCTGCTACGTTTGGTAAGGAAACACTATTATTTTTGCACCTACTATGGAAATCCTGCTCCCTGTCCTGCCCCCTCAATCTGTGAGGCAGATAATCCCAAATCAACGCTTCGCCTCCAGCGTACTGGGGCTGCAGAGTGTCACCCAACACCTCCACTGCTGACTGTCACCTTCCGCTCCCCTGGCCTTCAGAGAACACTAGCTTTTGGCAGAGGATCTGCAGGATTGCTCCTTCTGGAAGCATCCCTTCCCTGAAAGCTGCTTTCGAACAGCTTTACACAGTGTGGAAGTTCCTAGCAGAGGCTGTGCAGGAACGACGCCGTCGTTTCCAGCTCTAACACCCGACAAGCTGACGAGCAAAATCCAAAGTGACAGGGGTGAACTCCTCCATCTCTAGGGAATCCTACCACTGCCACGATTCAAGTCTGTTTTGACAGGGCTTAAAGATAAGATAAAACACATCTGTACATGACGTGGGTTTGCGTTAAGGGAGTTATCCTCCCCCAGTGCAGTGACACCAGGGCTGCGGGTGCAGCTCCCAGCGGCGTGCTGGTGATGGCATCTACCCAAAGACACCTCCCTGTTGGCTTGGCACGTGTGTGTCACTTCCAAAATCTGCTTGTAGGCACATGAGCCACTCGTTACCCAGCTGGGGTCAAGAAGGTCGTGTACACCAGTCTCCCCTGTCGAAATGGAAGGTAACTTTCTACCCTTTGTGCTCTTTGCTAGAGAGAGGGTAAGGAAAGGGGCCCCATACCTTAAGATCTTGCCAACTGCAGCGGCTTGACAAATTTTCCACAATCAATCTGTATTCTGTACGGGTGGGAGGACCGTACTTATCTCTTCCGCTTCTTCTATAACCATATCCACCTTTAGGAGGTGACAAGCAGACAGCAGAACTTCAACCAGGGCAGTGGAGGGCTCGCTCTGCACCCCCCATGGAAACTCCTCCACCCCGCACCTTCGTGAAGACGTCACCAATTCACCCCCACCCCCAGCCTAAATCCCACCCCCCTCTCGAAAATCCTACACAGACCCAAAGCATGACAAAATTTTTACTGCAAGCACGTAATTAAAGCAATGCACGTTGATTATAACTAGGCCACAATTGACATGCAATTAAACAGAAAGTTACTTCTAAAACAGTTTGAAAGAAGAAACCGAATTAAAGCCAGTTTACTGACGTTACTTACATGGCTTAAAGGCTTTCTGAATATCTGACATGAATAAAGCTTTTCAGGCACCTATTTCAGATTAATCTCATCTGTCTCTAACCCTTGGGGTCCTCAGCACCCAGGTCTAATGGGAAAAGGCTGCGGTCGTCACATGGCTTCCTTTTTTTTTGGTCAGCCAAGGGCCACAATGGTCAAAGAGGCACTCATGGAAAGGTAACCCAAGGTCAGCAAATGGAACGGGCAGTCATCTTAGCCTCAAAGGACTCTTTCAATTAAAACATTGAGGTCTTTGTTAAATCTATGTTAAACATCACATTGCAAATAAACCATTCAAATAGTTAAAACGAAAGGATAATAATAAAAATGGTACGAGAAATTGTGTTTATTCATTTATCCAGTGAAAATAGCTTCATACAACAAACAAGTTATTAATAAATAGGCAGATCCACAGTTACATTTACAGTTACACAACACTAGTCACAACTTGAGATCATTTTCTTTTTAAAATTACGGGTTTTTTTCCAAAAAAAAAATTGTTTTATTTAACTGAAGGCAGGGATACAAATGCATGGGAGTGCTTACTGCGTCCAGAACTGTAACTGCTGTCACGCCGTGGGCCTCGGGCATGCTCCACAATCACTCTCTCCCCACAGAGATCCTTCCCGTTGAGCTCGTACACGGCATCGTCCGCGTCCCGCAGGTCATCGAACTCCACAAAGCCGTACCTGGGGAGAGGGAGAGCAGGGACTCGCTGGGAAAGAACTCAGCCTGAGGCACCTCAACCTGAGGAACGTGTCCCTCTGCTGCCCTGAGGGCTACCAAAGGGTCCAAGGCCATGAGCCACCCCAGACTTCTTAAGTCAAGACATTTGGCCAAGAGCGGTGAGGCTGAAGGGGCATTTGGCAGACACTGTGGTGCCCACGATCTGTGGATGAGGATTTATCCTGATTTTTGAAGAGCCCCAAGTTCATTCTTGGTGCTTAGGAAGCTACTTTAATTCCTACACTTGAAATGGAAATATTCATTCATCTCTGCAAACACAAGTGTCTGTAGACCCTGTGTGAAAGGTCCAACCAGAATGAAAACAGGAAGGCAGGTGAGGAAAAGGGATTTTGTTTTAGACTCATTTTACCCTTGACTGTGATGGTTTGGGCATGAAAAGCCAATGTGCTCATGCAACAGGACAGATCTGCCACCTGCTGAGATACCTGCAGCTTCCCACCTCCTGCTGAGAAAGTCTTTTATGTCCACTCTAGTTCCAACATCCTGGCAGCTCAGAGAGCATGGCAAGTCCAAACCTTGTCAAAGGACTTAAGAAAATGCAGCAACAGCAATGAGGAACAAGTTCCCTGGGCCAGCAAAGAGTCCACTGGTGGCCAACAGGCCTTGCAGGGACAGCACAGGGTGCAGGTCCCAGGGACAAGCAGAAAGGTTTGTGTTTGGAAACATCTGCTGTGCACTTCCCTCAGGCCTTTGAAGTCATGGGCAGATCAAGCCCAAGAGGAAGGACACAGATGGAAAAAACAGATAATGCTGAATTTCAACATTGTGGCATCAGTTTCCTATCACCAACAATGGACACAATGCAGAGACAATCACAGAACCACAGAATCCCACGTTGGGATGGACCTCAGGGATCATCTGGTCCAACCTTTCTTGGCAAAAGCCTGGTCCAGACAAGCTGGCCCAGCACCCTGTCCAGCTGAACCTTAAAGGAGTCTGTTCTTTGGGAATTCCACCCCTTCCCTGGGGAGACTGTCCAGAATCCTGAACTCCACATGCCAAGGGGGACATTTTTGTAAGTGCTGGTGCTTTAAATAATGCAGCAGAACAAAGCCCTGAGACAAAAACACTGGATCCTTTTTTTAGGTCCCTTCATCTTTAAGCTTTCTCCTGACCTCCCCCACCCAGACGGTCCCAGCAGCTCCAGCTTCCCTGTGTAATTGTACCTGTATTGACAAAATTCTGCAGAATGACTCCAAACCAGAAATAAAGTGGCTGCTTTCACATGCAAGAGCTGTAGTGCCAGGGAAGAAACAAGCGTGATTGATTTATAACAACTGAAACAATCACAGTCATTATAGAACCATTCAAATCACAACTTTCTTCCCTTCAGTTCCAAAAATAGAGCAAGCCCAACGCAAACCTTTAAACGAGATCTCACCCTAAAAGCAATTACTTACAAGGTGAAGTGCTTGGTACACACCAGAGCTTTCAAGACATTAAATGCACAGACATTTGAAGCCAGAATAATGGAGGAATATCTGAATTTGATCAGAGCACAGACCATTCAAATCACAACTTTCTTCCCTTCAGTTCCAAAAATAGAGCAAGCCCAACGCAAACCTTTAAACGAGATCTCACCCTAAAAGCAATTACTTACAAGGTGAAGTGCTTGGTACACACCAGAGCTTTCAAGACATTAAATGCACAGACATTTGAAGCCAGAATAATGGAGGAATATCTGAATTTGATCAGAGCACAGAATCCCAGAACCCCAGCATGGGGGGGTTGGAAGGGACCTCTGGAGATCATCTCCTCCAACCCCCCTGTTCCAGCAGCTCACCCCCAGCAGGGTGCCCAGGGTCACAGCCAGGCAGGTTTGGGATCTCTCCAGAGCAGGAGACTCCACAGCCTC